TTCGCGCCGCGCAAGGAACGCCAGGGGCTCGCGTGGGGGACTGGGCCCCAGCGCGACAGCTTGCCGATCCGGCCGCGCGCGCGAGCCCCGAATCACATCCCGCAGAGAAAACAAGGAGCCCGCGCACGGAACGCAACCCGCATTGAGCATATATTTATACTATTTCACTACATAAATATGCGAATATGCGCATACAGGCGCACGATCTAGATATGTACATCTATATATCTGCATTCTATATAATATAGTATATAGAGAGAACGTTTTTGAACAGCGCAGCACTGAACGCGCCACCATCAACACACGAATCCAGCACGCCATGCTGGGAAGCATTTCGCCGTGGAGGGCTCGCTTGAGGCCCCAGGCAAACGTGGCAACAGAGCGAGCGTTGGTGCTGCCATACTCCACGCGCGCGCGCGGGTGACGCGCGTCGCTGGCGCGCGCGGCTCGCACATTTAATTTCCGCACCGTTCACCTTGCGCTTGTGCGATGAAAGACATGTTAACTTCAAAATCCGATCGGTCACCGTTAAGAGTTCACCTTAGTTTCCAGGCCAGCATGGTGGTCCTTCAATTGTGGATAATGCGCAACTCGCCACGCCCGCGTCATCGCGCGCGCGCGGTAGGGTGACCCACGCGCGGGGCGTTCCACCCGAAATACCGCTGGCCACAATTAAAAATTCATTTTCGGTCCCAGGACGACTTTGCTATCGTTCTATATTTGAAAACGCTGATAAACGCATGTTAACTCCAAAATCCAATCGGTCACCGTTAAGTGTTCACTTTAGTTTCCAGGCCAACATGGCGACTTTTCCATTGTGGATAATGCGAAACTCGCCACGCGCGCGCCTACCTTTCTACATGTGAAAACGCTGATAAACGCATGTTAACTTCAAAATCCAATCGGTCACCATTAAGTGTTCACTTTAGTTTCCAGGTCAACATGGCGACTTTTCCATTGTGGATAATGCGGAACTCGCCACGCGCGCGCGCGCCTACCTTTCTATATTGTATATTTGACAACGCAGAAAACGCATGTTAACTCCAAAATCTAATCGGTCACCGTTAAGTGTTCACTTTAGTTTCCAAGCCAACATGGCGGTTTTTCCATTGTGGATAATGCGAAACTCGCCACGCGCGCGCCTACCTTTCTATATGTGAAAACGCTGAAAAACGCATGTTAACTTCAAAATTTAATCGGTCACCATGAAGTGTTCACTTTAGTTTCCAGGCCAACATGGCGACTTTTCCATTGTGGATAATGCGGAACTCGCCACGCGCGCGCGCCTACCTTTCTATTTTGTATATTGACAACGCAGAAAACGCATGTTAACTCCAAAATCCAATCGGTCACCGTTAAGTGTTCACTTTAGTTTCCAGGCCAACATGGCGACTTTTCCATTGTGGATAAGGCGAAACTCGCAAAGGCCACGTCCGCGCGCGCGCGCACGCATTATCCACAATGGAAAAATCGCCATGCTGGCCGGGAAATTAAAGTGAACCCTTAACGATGACCGATCGGATTTTGAAGTTAACATGCGTCTTTTATGCGTTTTCAAATATAGAAAGGTAAGCGCGCGTGGCTAGTTTCGCATTATCATCAATGGAAGTCGCCATGTTGGCCTGGAATTGAACGTGATACCCTTAACTGTGACAATTTGGATTTGGGAGTTAACATGCGTGTCTAACATTCTCATACATATCAGAGATATGACATGACTGAAAATGAACGATCGGCATTGGAGCGAGTTAATGCGATGCGCGATGCGCGTTTTTCCATCCCCTCTCAGATTGTCTCCTCCTCTTCTCCTTCCACCCCTTCGCCCCCCCCGCGCCCCCCTGCCCCCCCCGCCCGCGCGCGGCCTGCGGGATGGGCAGGTGATCCAGCGAGGGGCTGGACCTCAATGGCCCCGCCTCTGGATTCGGACTCGGGCGGAAGCTCCGACGCGCGCCCCGCGAGGAAGGGCCGCGCCCGAACAGGGCGCTGGGCCCCGACGCGACCAGCGACGCATCGCGTCGAGCCAGCGAGTTCCGAACCGCGCGGCCTCGGGAACGGGGGGCGCCCCTGCGAGGGAATTGGCTGCAGTCTCCCGCGCCTTGACGCGTGGACAAGGGCGAAAGCCCCAACGCGCGCCCCGCGAGCAACGGGAAGGCCCGAGAGAGGCGCAGGGCTTTTGCGCGACCGCCGTCGAAATATGTGAAGCAAGCGGAAGGAGCCGAGCCCTCTCTGGCGCTCCGTTCCCTAGACTAACCGCCCGGATCAACGAGCGATCCCGCGCGCCCAAAATATTCGGGGGCGCTGGGGAGGGGGGTTCGCCGCCAAGAAGGTAGCTGAACGCGAACAAACACATGGGGAGCCCGAGCCCCATTTCCATGTGAAAAATGAGTGTGCAATTTGTGTGGTGCTTCTCTGTTTTTCTTGTTATATCTCTCTATGTTTATTGTTTTCTCTCTCTCTCTCTCTCTCTCTCTCTCTATCTATATATCTCTCTATCGCTATATCTTTTTCTCTCTCTCTCTCTCTCTTTCTCTCTCTCTCTGTTTGTTCTCTCTCTCTCTCTCTCTCGCTCTTTTTTTTTTTTGGGGGGGGTCCTCTCTCTCTCTCTCTCTCTCTCTCTCTCTCTCTCTCTCTCTCGCTGCCTCTATCGCTTTTCCTTTTCGCGCGCGCAGAGACACTCGCGCTTCCGCGCGCGCGCTCGCACTCGCGCGCGCGCCCAACCCGCAACCGCGCGCAAATGCGCGCTCTCCCTCGTTCCCGTTTTTTTTTTTTTTTTTTTTTTTTTTTTTTTTTTTTTTTTTTTTTTTTTTTTTTTTTTTTTTTTTTTTTTTTTTTTTTTTTTTTCCCCTCTCTCTACTCTCTCTCTCTCTCTCTCTCTCTCTCTCTCTCTCTCTCCCTATCTCTGCCTCTCTCTCTCTCTCTCTGCTTGTCAGACAGAGAGACCCTCGAGCG